CTCCACTGCATTCAAATTGCTTTTATGCTTCTTCTGGCATACCCAGGTTCCGCTGCCATATAACAAAGTCGGTACCAACACTGCGTTATGTATTGCAAGGCGTGCACTCTTCACCACGCCTTGCCTTTTGACTAATGCATTCAGGGCACCATTGACTTAGTTTCCGGCAGCGACGCGCCTATCCACATCTAAATCACATCTTCCATCCCGGCTGAAAGCACTCCCTAAGTATACAATTTCATTTACCTGTTCTAGACATTCCTGATTTACCCATATTTCACATTTCGTTCTCTCTTCGTCCTTTTCAAATACCAGAACCTTAGTTTTTTTAGCATTCAAACGGAGACCTTTAATTTCACATTCCTCTTTCATACACGTGACTAATGCCTGCAGTTCTGCTAGAAGACATGACACAACCCTGTTTTACGCCCGCTTGGACGCTAAACATGGGTGACAGGTCATGCCCTACCCGCACACAAGCTTTACAGTCATAGTAAAATGATTGCACAGCCCTTAACAATCGACCATCCACACCATATCCCGGCAACAGTTCCCACATTTTCTTCCTTATAACCTTATCAAATGCTTTCTCCAGATCCACAAAAGCACAGAAAATCTTCTGGTTAACACTCAGAAGCTTCTCCGTGATCATGCGGAGAGAAAACATTTGATCCGTGCATCCTCTTCCAGGTCCAAAATCCGCATTGTGCCTCCCATAAGAATCTTTTCGATTTATCTTGCATCCTACGTGTCAAAACTTTCGAGTAAACTTTACTTGCTAAACTGGTCAAGCTGATCGCCCGATAGCACCCGCAGTCAAAACGTGAACCTTTACCTTTATATAAAGGCACAATGACCGCGGATCGCCAATCATTCGGGACATCTCCCGTCCGCCAGCACAAATTGCACAGCAGACGAAAGCTGTCCCAGACGCGAGGCCCACCGTACTTGACCATTTCAGCAGTAACTCTGTCTAGTCCCGCAGCCTTACTACATTTCAAACTACGAATAGCACGTTCAATCTCTTTCATGCTGATGACCTCAGTGTCATCGAAGTCCGTGTCTGGCGTGCCAGTCATGGCGTCACCCCCGGATCCTTCACTAAGATCATGACACGCATACATTTCTCTATAAAATTCACTCCATCGCTGCATGACGTTCGATTTTTCTGAAAGGACTTCATTGGTACTCGAAAGCACTTTGTTCATTCTTAAGGCTGTCGCACCGCTCCGGGACCTTCCAACCTCTTTCCAGAAGAGTTTGGAGTTTTCCTTAAAGTTGTGCGACAACCTCTCGTCCGCTTCTATTCTACACCTTTCACGTACTTCCTCAATCAATGTTTTCGCATGAACTTTCTGCAGCTTATATCTTTCTTTCATCTTCTCTCTCATATGCTTATCGTTACTAGAGACCAAGTAGTCTAACCATGCTTTTTTCTTCTTTTTTACAGCTTCTCTCACTTCATCATTCCACCATGCATCTCTTCTTAAAAGAAGAAGTAGAAGAAGTATTAAACTACTACCTCTTTTTGTCGTTCCACATACTTCTTCCGCTGCACTTACCATTCCATCCCTAAGGTTCTGCCATGTTGTCTCCACACATTCTTAACAATAAAAAGTTGAATTTGTATTATAGGCTTTGAAATGAGTATACAGTGTTGTTTCGTCAACATTAGGTTTCTCCTGTAACAAAGCATTGAAACTAGTGCAGTTATGTTTTTTGCTACACTTATAATCATAAGTTAATAATATAAGTCAAAAAACAAATTTTTCATTTGTTTTTTGACTTTAACACCCATCGTCTGCACAATAATTACGTGGTTTCGGCATTTCAACGATAAGCGCGGGAAACGTGCACTGTGCAAGCACTCAGGCGGGCGTGCGGCAGCCCAATATTGGTTGTATCGTGGGCGATACGCAGAGCGGTCGCATATAACGCGTGGCCTAGAGCGAGTGACGGAGGCCTGCTACTACAGCTTTTTAGTAAATAAATACTAGCTGAACTCCGCAGACGTTGTGTACTGCCAGTTAATATCATAGGTGGAGTTCAGCAACTTTTTTATTTTAACGCATGCAATTTAATTTAATTACCGCGCTTGTTTGAAAAAAAGCAAATAAAATAAAAAAAATCATTTTTTTGTTTTTAAATATAAACACTCTCCGTGGTAAAATACATATATAATATCGATCAAATAGATTTTGTGTAAAACGATTTCATATATACAAACATCATCTTTTATCATACGTATATGTATGTCTTCTGTTTTTATTCTCGCAGAATGTTTCACATGCTCATTACATCTTCCCATTCGCAAATTGGCAGAAAACTTGACGCTTGATTGCAAAATTATTGGTGATGGTTTTAATATTCTTTTCGCCAAAACCGGCCATGTTGCTTCCATTTGCAATCTACCGTCATTAATTTTACGATTTTTAAGTGGAATTTGAGAGAAATTTCGTAGCCATTACTTATATCGTAATATAAAACGGATAATTTGAGTTTTGAAATAATAACGAGAATTATAATTTGTATAATATTGCTATTTTTGTGAACACTGCTATTAAAATTCTATCTATTAAACTAACTAATAAAGATATAACTGAATAATTAAATAATGTATTATTTTTGCAAATTGGACACTCCATCAGGAGGCCGTTTTGCGAAAAGGGCGTTATTGGACAAATGTAATGTAGCCAGTCAGTAAACATATTTGAATATTGAAATAAATTATCCTACAAATGTAGCACAGAGTAATGTAAGCGCAGACAGGTATAATATAAATAATATGATAATTAATTAAAGTATGTATGAATATACAATAAATAAACCAGTACCCGGATGACCGAGATTTGCTTGTTTTTTTTCTTTTGAAATTGCATTAAGATACAAATTTTTACTGATGAATAATATATACATATATACAAGTATAACCTAACGAAACCTATCCAACTGCAGAGAGGTGTAAGACAGGGTGATGTTATATCCCCGAAACTCTTCACCGCTGCGTTGGAAGACGTTTTCAAGCTACTGGACTGGAAAGGATACGGTATTAACATCAATGGCGAGTACATCCTTACCTTCCGTACCTTCGATTTGCCGACGATATAGTCCTTATGGCAGAACCGCTGGAGGACCTTAGCACTATGCTCAATGACCTCAATGCTGTCTCCCAACGGATAGGTCTTAAGATGAACATGGACAAAACAAAGATCACGTTTAATGTCCATGTCACACCTATGCCGGTAGTTGTTGGGAGCACTATGATCGAAGTTGTTGACGAGTACGTTTACCTGGGACAAATAGTCCGACTAGGTAAGTCCAACTTCGACCAAGAGTTCAATCGATGGATTCAACTCGGCTGGGCAGTGTTCGGGAAATTACGACACATCTTCTCGTCAGGTATACCTCAATCTCTGAAAACTAAAGTGTATAACCAGTGCGTGTTACCAGTGATGACATACGGATCTGAGACGTGGTCCTTCATTGCTGGCCGTATGAGGACGCTCAAGGTCGCTCAGCGAGCTTTGGAGAGGGCTATGCTCGGAGTTTCTCTGCGTGATAGACTCAGATATGAGGATATCCGCAGTAAAACCAGAGTGACCGACATAGCCCAACGGATTAGTAAGCTGAAGTGGCAATGTGCTGGCCATATAGCTCGAAGAACCAATAACAGATGGGGAAGAAAGGTACTCGAGTGGCAGCCTCGTACCGGTAGGCGTAGTGTAGGGCGACCCCCCACTAGATGGAGTGACGACCTGCTAAGACATGCAGGAAGTCGATGGATGCAGGTGGCTCAGGACTGTGCTTTGTGGCATTACTTGGAAAAGGCATGTTCAGCAGTGGACTTGTGAAGGGCTGTAATGATGATGATGATAAGTCGCTAAATACTGGAGGTGGCGGAGAGATATATTCCTCTGGCGGTCTTAGTTGCTCTAATGGTAGCTACAATGAAAATTAAAGTTAGTAAGTAGTTAGCTACGACACAATTTATAGTCGATATTAAATCTTAATAACATTCATGTTAGATACATAAATGTAATGGTAACACACAAACTATCTGGTGGTAGGCGGTAGCCCATAGACACCTTTCTTCTATCGTCATTTTTCTACAGAAGTAAGGGTGACAAAAGGGTACATGATATACTAAAAGATAAGCTGATGTTTTAGTCTATAGATCTTCATCTATTCTTGATTTAGAATCAAAATAAAGGTATATTATCAGCCATGCGGATTAAGAAGAAATGTCTCATCAACAGTAACAACGGTCTTCAACTGACGTCATTCACCATTCGAAACACAGCAGCAGTCGACTCTACGTTATGTTTTTTCCTTTTGATTTTTTTGTTGCTTGGAACAAATGTCAATCTTTCAAAATATAAAAACAAAGGTAATTCGAATCGAGATTGAAATAATAAAAACTAATTTTATTAAAATAATTATCATAGGATAATGCTATTTTGGTAGCATCACCAAGTTTCTAACACTACGTTGTAATGTAAGTTTTATGTATAATGATTCCAATTAGTTTTAACTCAAATTATAATATCTCTAATAAAATATAAAATATAGTAACTTTGCATTCATTAAAAAAAAACCTTAAACAATTAGAGATTGAAACACACTCCTGCAACAGTATACGTTAAATGCAAATATTATTTCTTATAAAATACTTAATTACTTAGAGCCGTGGTAGCTCAGATGGTTAGCGCTCGCTGTAAATATAACAGAATGCGAGTAACCCGGGTTCGATCCCCGCCGGCACCAATGAAATTGTTAATTGCAGTTTTAAGTGCTGATTTACCACGTGCTCGGCGGTGAAGGAAAACATCGTGAGGAAACCTGCATGTCTGAGGAATAAGAAAAAAAATATTTTGAAGACATGTGAAGTTCGCCAACACGCATTGGGGCAGCGCGGCGGACACTTCCTTGCCCGAAAACTTTCTCATAAATGAGGGGAGGCCTGTGCCCAGCAGTGGGACGTATAGAGGCTGTATCTTTACTTAATTACTTAACAAATGGCTACTATCTAAAGGTAACGTGTTTTTATATCTTAACCAATCCTCATAAACATTATGAAATGGCTGCCTATGTACATTCGTTCCAATGTTTGGCATCGGCGCCAAACTTGGTTGAATATTTGGTATCCTATATCTCAGTGGATATTCATACTGGGAAGTACTGTTCATCGTATGATTGTAATGTGCATTGAAACGATTAGGTATTTCTAATTCATCTACATTAGTTGTAGATATTAAAGGTCTGACAGAACTGTTGTCTGTGTTTGAAGATTTGTTAGAACAAGTATCACTTAGTTTCGTGTTTAAAGGTATAATATCAGGATTCTTATCTGAAAATAAAAATATCAATAAATAATATTAAGCGGTAAAGAAACTATATCTACTAAATAATTAAAATGTAGATATACATACCTAAGCTATTAGCACTGTCAGACTTTTTCTCACCTGTAAGCAACATGTTTGAACTCTCTTCTTGAGGCGTTTTAGCTTTCTCGTTTGTATCTGTAAAAACACCATAGTTTTCAAAAACCGGATACACTTTAGTAGTTACCACTTCTCCTTCTTTTACTTCTTATTTTTAAGGAAAAAGGGACTCAGTACGTTTAATATGTAGTTGAGGGCGTTATGTTGGGCATGTAATGTATATGTCCGCAAGCGAACGAAAAAAAATGTGAAAGCAGAAAAAGATTTATTCATGTAGGGGGGATGACGTATTATATTTACTGTTATGACATTTTGTTATAACAGTATATATATTTACTTAAATTATAGGTGAGTACCAACACTTTAACTATAACGCAAATTATTTTATTTAAAAACAAAACTAAAAAATATAAAACAAAATAAAAAACATTTATTTTATTATATGATAATGTTATATTTAATTTATTATAATTAAGAGTGAATGTTTGTATCAAGTTACTCAATATGCTTTTCAACATTCACTTGAAATTGACTAACACTGTCTGAAAAAATATATATATATATATATATATATATATATATATATATATATATATATATATATATATATATATACATATGGGTGATATTCTTCAGACTGACTGAACTGATTGTATTGAAACTTCACGACCAGATAGAAAGTAATGACAGAAGTGATTTAGGCTATATTTTTGCCAAAGATGTATGAGATATTTTTTTATTTCAAATTTAATTTTGCTTAATCTAAATAGTCAGGAGTCTTAGTACTCAGGGTGACAACGCATCTATCTTATAATTCTTAATCGAGGATAGATGAAGTTGTCCATGATCTACTTACCATCAGATGGACTCTGTGCTCGATTTTAGTACATATTATTTAAAAACATCAAAGCATCAAAGTTCAGGGAAGTTTGCAGTTTGTTATCATGTCCTGGACGGCCCCAACCAGATAGACATAAAAAAAAAGATTTGATAGACCACAAATCCTCTAAAAGGAACATCAATTCCTATCAAGGATGATACGTGAGACTATTGAAATAAAACAAAATTATTTTTTCAATAGAGAAGGAGGCTTGGTACTACCACCTGCTTAGAACCCTATAATTAATGAAATTAAAATTAAACCCAAGCATACCACTGCAAGACTTCAAGACACAGTAAGTTCATTCTGTAGATCGGACCATAAATAAAAATTAAAAAATCTGAAGATCAGTCCGCCGTAACCATGGGTGGTGGAAAGCACCCGAAACGTCTGGAATTAAAAATCAAAGAAATAAAACGCGATTAAAATCGATAAAAATAGTTGTTAAAAAAAAACCGCATTTGTGAAAATAAAAACTTATATATCTTCAAAACCCCGACTTTTTTTAAAGCAATTCCTTTACCATTTCATTGTTTTAATTGCATATTATCATATCTATATGCTTTTATATGTGGCCACCCATGGCCGAAGTGTCTATGAAGAGTGGGCATTCCCCTTTATATAATGAAAGGCAAATTGTCAACTATTATCCTTTTAAATTAAACGCAAAATCCACAAAACTTTTTCTAAATTGTTTTGATTTTCGATTCAAAAAAATTTTCGATACTTATTTTATAACCCCGAAAACCAATCCGAATTAAGAAACGCGACCTAATTACGAATAAACCATTATCAACGCTGTTAGACACAATTGCATATTTTTATCCGGATATCATTTTTCATAAATTAAAAATTCACCACTTAATTTTTACAACATAGAATCGGACAAACTTAAAACTATCTAACTATCATCGCTTGTGGTTACAAACGCCATCTAGCGGCGAGCAGCTAAAGACTGATGATTTGGTAATTCCAATATGAATCACCATTTGATTCGACATTAGTTACGGTTTTAATAGTAGCCCTGATAAGCAATTAAAAAGTAAATAGTAATCCTAAAGTTCTAAAAAAATTCGATTTATTCGGAGCTTCATTCTGTCGGGAGTAGGCTGACTTAATTGGCTTTCTTCACATTGGTTTAGGGTTGAGTAATATTGACTAACTCAACCATCACCTGCACATTAATTGCGCAGCTATCCATCAGTCTGTCAAGAATGGATATCGAGGAAAATAAAATCTTTAAAATGCGCGTAATAAAAAACTATGAAAAACAAATGGTATGGACCGTTGGTAAACCTAGCCTCTGTCATACAGGAACACCTTCTTTGCCCCAGTTGATATTTTAGGCACAAATAAATAGGCGATTATTTAGAAGCGTGCACAAGCAACCACACGCGTTACTTTGATGTGTACCCAAAAAACGAACAGTTCTCGGAATTTTGCTGCCTATAGGCAAACGTGGCCAATCTGCACCAATAAACCTATTATTTTAATGAAAGGTTATGATAAATTAAATTATAAATTATATAACCATACCTGCTGGTAAAATGTGATACACGCAGGGAAGTGTCTGTGATCCCACTATGTTGGACGCAACACACTGTACCCAGCCGTAGTCCGCTGACGAGTTCACAACATAGACAAACGTACCTGACACAAATATTTTGTTTTTAATATAATGGAGATAATAAAAGCAGTGTGATTTATTTAATCGATTATTTCGAAGTTTTAATTACGATACAGGTTTATTTTGCAATGTATGCCCAAATTTTCAGAGAATGTTCAGAATAAGTTATAAAGGCAAACAGTGAAAAAAAAATATAAATTTCAATCATTTTATCCCTTTTATCTTTCAAATTCAGAGTACGTAGTAATGCGTGCTTTTAACTAATGATTATCAATAAAAATCTCACGCCTACTATTTTACTACGCACGTACATTCGTAAAGGTCACTCGTTACAAATTTAGGTACTTTGTCGCGGGTCTTCCCGCACCCTTCCCCTTAACCGTTACATCGACACGTATCAACCTCCGATCGGCTGGCCGCAGCAGATAATGTTGACCGTGATCATTGAGAAGAAGATGATGAAGGGTGTGAAAATTTATAAGTATACTGTTTTCAATTTTTACGTATGCTATTTTTAATTTTTCGGAGGTAGTGTCGCTTCGTTATGAATGACAGCGCAAAAAATATTCGAACCGCAAATACTATGAAATGGTGCGGTGTTACACTTTAAACAATAAAGTTGTACGTGGCGCGCAAAGATTATAGTAGAATAGAAGTGATTCTTTATTTTTTATTCTTTGTTCGCGATAAGAAATTAACTAGCGTGCAACTACCAACGGAAGAACAATTGACAGTTAATTAAACTATTCAAGTGCAGTGAGTGATAATTTAAATAGTGACCATTTAAGTAGTGAATATAAAGATTGAGGTGAAATGTGTGAGGTGAGAATGAGGTTGATTGCGCATGGAGACTCTATACTACTCACCATACGAAACGCAGTAGCATTAAGCTGCTATTTTACGCTGGTTAATTTAATGAGAGCGTGGTTCTACCCCCGGTCGAGTCGACCTATTCGTGCTACAACTATAATTCTAATATAGCTGCATACTCACCACACGTCGCGCCTGTAATCCCAGAGGAGGTAAGCCGAGTCCAAAGAGCAAAGAGCTACTCGGACCATGTTTTACCAAAATAAAATAAATAATGGGTTTAGATGGAAAATTGTGAAAGACGTGATAAGTGGCTAGCCCATCGCAATAATTACAAAATTTTATATCTTATTTTTCGCCTTTTATGACATTGTGGGCAAGTATGCCTACAGACACACTTGGCATATTCTTATCTCCCATAAACATAGGACATATAAATCTCAGACCAACATGATGCAACTTTTTATAAAACCAATTTAAACTTAATATAATTTCAAAGTGGCTTGCGGAAATAGTTTACTTCTAGTTTGTTTACAATTTAAACTATCTAGACCATCATAAACGCTAAAATTAGCGAACAGGATCTTTCTCTTAATTATTTTAAATGTACGGGAAATATATTTTTATTTTCCCTGCGCATATTCCATGAACATATCAGACAGAATACATCATGAGTGCCTATTTCAATTAGCCATGATTAGAAAATCGTTTTATAGCAAAATTTTAGCAGATTAATTAGTAACAGAGTGGTGCAGTTTATTGGTGTCAGTAACAAAGTTGCTGCAAAATCTTAAAATGTCCTCGAGGTCGAAATGTCATCTACGCACACAAGGATTATAGTTTACGAGTGTGTTAGCACAGGTGTACCTACTCTTTTAATTTCATATTTCGAAGAAACGGCAAATGCGACCCGTTCGGAGAAAGATCGGGTGCAGAACAATTGAATTTACGTGCTTTCTGAGACACATAGGCAAGTTTCAGACTTCGAGCTACTACTGAGAATTTCTTCACAGAAAAAACCCATCACTGATTTTGGCCCAACCCGATCGGGGTTCAAATCCAAGACTACATAACAGCAGTCGCGCTAAACCATTATTACTTCTCCTGGTTAGTTGTGCATAGCATTTTTATAATTGTTTCTGAATTTGTTATAAAAAATGTTGACACCGTATTTTTCATAAACTTCTTATTTTTGGCTTTGAGTATATTGTAAAAGTGATTGTTGACATAATGAAGAATAGCATTAGATTTTTAAAATTATTTAAAATTATTCGCTATATTCAAATATTAACTTCCTGTTGAAAAATAACTTACTTGCTTCATTTTGTACGTGTGACGGAGACATTTTCAATTCACGCCTCGCGTGTATCGTTCTATTAAACCACCACTGATACGTTAAAGAAACCTGTTGAAAAAAAAGTACTAAATAGATATTTAATTCTACATTTATTACAATATCATAAATATATACAATATGTATTATATTATCAAAAATACAATAATAGAGTGCGTTATATTTCATTTTCTTACTGAACTTATTCTCTGAGCTAGAAAAACGAATCCCACGAAACGGTAATCTCTACTGCAATTGCCACAAGAGTGTAGTTATTTCTCAAAGATTCGTATATCGTTTGCGCTATTTACTCCGTTCAGCGTCTTTTTTATGCCGTCCCGGCCGTAAACTCCTGAGATGGGAGGTACTCCAGAGATGAAAGGCCGACAAAGTATCTACGCACTTAGCACCTCACATTAGGACTTCTCTCCCAACGTATTAAAGTTAGAACTCTTTTTTACCCTTTACTTTTTTATCTAATTTAAAGTAACAATATACACACCCGCGCACTACATAATACAGTTATTATTCACTAAATGTATCATAACCGATCACACTTACATACTTACATATATGTGTGTAAGTATCCTTCTCGTTGTTTCTTCTTTTTCAGACTAAAGAGTCAGTTGCTGTACCTACATGGTCCCCTCCAATAATTAGTTATGTTTTCCTTTTCGCCAAGCTGGGTGGACGTGTTGGCAATAGCTTTAATTCGCCTCTTACAGCGACTACGAAATATTATTGGATAGTGGATTTTTTTACATCGCCAATGCAACATAACATTAGATGTATAGTAAAAGTATTTCTGCCTCGTTGGTCCAGTGGTTGTAGTAGTGCAACTGCTGATCGTAAGGTACTGGGTTCGATTCCCGGGTCGGGCCAAGAAATCGATTATCGAGTTTTTCTGTCAAGAAACTCTCAGTAGTTGTCTGGAGTCAGGATGTTGGCAGTGTCTCACCCCCGTGCCTCGGACAGCACGTAAAGCCATTGGTCCTGCGCCTGATCTCTCTCCGGTCGTGTCGGCTTACCGTCCCATCGGATTATGAGAGTGAGGGAATAGAGAGTGCTCATGTGCTTGCACATGAGCACTTGGACACTATAATCCTGCCCTGCGCCGATGGCTAGTCTCCGTTGAGGCTGGCCGCCGTGACCGAAATTCGGTCTCGAAGACATTATTATTAGTAAACGTATTATATCGTAAATCGGCGTACAATTACTCTTTTTTTTCAGCAACATTCGCGGGTGCACTGACTAAAACTCAATAAATGTTTCTCGTAATCGGATGAATATTATAGCATAGAAAACCACCGAACAACTAAACATATTATCCAAACGATATCATAAACCTTTGCAGTCGTGCACATAACAACTGATCAAAGTTTCATCAATTCAAAAAAAATCAAGTAGAATTATATTAATACATATGCGATTTCTGTATAAAAGGAAGTAGCCTTTATTTTGACTTTTAGCATTCAAAACAGCATAATCAATATAGATACAACATAAATGGATGATACAAACATTTTACTGTAGCTACTTTGATATAATATTTACTTACTTTAGGATTAGCATCTACGATGCACTCAATCTCGACAACTTCCCCTATCGCTGCCCTGATATTGATCGGTTGTTCCGATTTACAAGTTGGAGCATCTGTACATTACAAAATGTATAGGTCTATATATTTCAGTCAACATAAACCTTGACGAAATACATACATAATATACATAAACACTCACGCCTGTCACCCAGAGGGGTAGGCAGAGACTACGGACTTCCATTTGGCACGTTCCTGGCATACCTTTTTTCGCCTCCTTTACATCTATATATCTACGCATACATGCTCGTCGGTTAAGGGTACTTCTAGCGTGGCCCATTTTCAAAATATCGCCAATTTAATCGATAAACTTTTTTCTGACGAAATAATTTATTTATTCAAATTCAATAATACAAACATTATACAAAATTGGGTTTTGCCCGGTCGTACGTTGAGAAATTTGTACTGCTGCCACTAAATGGGCTGGTTTTTCAAAATGCCACTTAGTATTTTTGGATGAAAAGACACGCTAAGAGGTTTATTGGTGACCTTGATTTGGTTAAAATCAAGCTTGGCAACCTCGAGCACAGGCGCAGGGTGGCTACCAAGGCTCTCAGTATTCTACAGGGATACATTTCGGACAATAAGCGTAGGAACTACATGAAATTATTCCTTCCTATCTCTTCAACCATCGTGGATCCAGACATCCAGACGGGTTCTTCCCCTTTCTTGACATACACTACTGACATACCGTAAAATGGGGTGGTATCATAAACCAATGCTAAACATAGGCCTTGCCATTGTTTGCCTTCATAAGTGAAATGTTTGTCATAGTTACCACTTACCATGCTTGGCAGGCGGGTTATCAACCCCAGTTTTTAATTTAATTATTAAAACCTTTTTTAACTTCACTTGTGTGTATGTCCCAGAATCGCCATTCAAGTAATCGTGCATTGTCATTTTCACTGATAATGCAAGATTACTTAAATGCGGCCGTTTTTAATCTCATATGGTGGACGTACAAAATAGTGATTTATCATTTCTACATCAACTCTATGGTATGGGTATCAAACACAAAATGGCTTTATAAGAGAAACACAAAAATTAAAGTGACGTTATTAAAAATTCAATATGGCGGATGTCACAAAATGGCGATTTATAATTTCCATAGTAACCGCTATGGTATGGGTATCAAATGAAGGGGTTGATAAGCAAAACATAATAAGTACAGTCACGTCATTCAAAATCCAATATGGCGGACGAAACAAAATGGCGATTTATAATTTACACAGTGACCCCTATGATATGGGTATCAAATAAAAAGGCTTGATGAGCGAAACACAATAGGTAAAGTGACGTTATTCTTAATACAATATGGCGGACGACTAATGTGACAATACAATATTATTATGACAAATGGTTCATATGATGATGGACACATAGAGTAATTAGACTTAGAGTGTTAGTGTCATTCAAAATGCAGTTCAAAGTTGAAGCAACAACACAATGAATGTGTGCATAAGCGGCCTGTAATTACGTTTGCTCGCACGCACACAAGCAAATAAGTAATGTATGCAAGTAAATGACGATTTCCCAAAAAATGGGCAAAGTGTAATAGTAGACATAGTCGTAAAGTTTATATTTAGGTTGCGTTTAGAATTATTTACTAATAATTTACAAAGAGAGAAATATAATATTACTTATATTTGTTAACTAATAGTTTATAAAAATTATTTATATACGTAATATCACATGCTATAATAATATTCACAAATCTATTATGTCAATATATTATTCTGTCGGAAAAGATATATTTATATAAGTATATAGTATTATATATTTATATAAATATATGATATAATTTTTTGAATAGGCGTTTTGTATTAAAACAAAATAAGATTCGGAAGGAGAAAAACTATTCAAATAAAACACGAAACTAAAAATATTTATTAAATAACTCTTACTTAATACGTAATAACCCTGCATCTGCAACTGTTTTCTAAATAACTGCCGCTTTGATGACACTATCCGCGAAATATTATCTTTTTTGGATTCATATAAGAATCGAACTCTTACATAACATTCTAAAATAAACCGCGCCAGATTTATGTCGTGATGTTGCGAATTGATGTGCTCTTCTATAATAGGAAATAGAGAACTACCAACGAGTTTGGCAATAATTTCGAGATAAAGCTCTTTCTCTGAATTGTTTTCCTGTGCATTATGATTGATATGATTTCACAGATTATTTTCAGCAATACTACAAGCAAGCAATAAAGAATAAAATAAATAAATAAATAATACAAATAGAGTAAACTTCATAAGAAATTTTCAGCAATACTACATATTAGAAACGTAAATTAGTTAGTTGTCGTTAGTTTTCTTTGCGATTAAGTCTAATTTTTTCAATTCATTGACCAGCACAGACCACCTAGCCTACGAGACATGTAACGAAAGGCGACCAATTTCTGTACTTCATCTGCTCAACCTGAGCCTATAAAGTTGAACATGAACGAATGAGTCGGACCAGACGAATATCTAAAAACGAATACGTTTAAATTGGCAATAATATTCACGTTATTATCAACTTCAGTTCATTAAAACAAAATAAATATTTTTGTGCTATTTTGGCTAAACGTTAACTACTGTCTTTACCATAATTTAATACACCACTGTTGGCTAGTGGCAGAACGTATCGTCTTTTTTAGGAAATGTCAAAGATATGTAAATCATTATTAGAATTTAAAAAAATGTTCATAGGGTGTTTATCCTAAAATACATGCTATAAAAAAGATAAAAATAACTGCACATTAACAAAAAAAAAATTAACACACTTTTTTCTTGTCAAGTGGGAACCCTAATAGTATTTGGCAATTAAAAATACCTACTACACATGCGGGAATATTGTAGGTATTTTTTATTTATCAAATAAAAATACAACAATAATAGTCCCATATTGGCAGTATGTAATTATAATAATAAGAAAATATGGGGTAAAATATTTTACTATGCCTAGCAACATTTTCATTATATAGGCGTCTGTCAAATTTAAGATTTATTATTTTGTTTTGATGAATATTTTTTTATAAAAATATAAGATGCTAGGCAGTAATTACCAGGGAAATGAGATTTTTAGATTTTTTTTTCATGATTATGTGATGAGTTGTGACAACCTTTTTTAAAGCACCGTAAGTTGTTTTTGCAAAATGGCGCGAGCTCTTTAAATGACTACGTGGACTCGAGTACTGACACACTGAAAGTCGTACTTAGCCTTAAAAGGCTAACTTGAAGCGGCTTCACTTTGCGTGCGCCTGCTGCTGTTCTAAGCCTAATAATTCTATGGATGGACATATAACGCACGCAAACTGAGGGCTGATAGTAGGTACCTTGTGCTAAAGCAAAAATAAAAATACTTTAGAAGTATTCTGTGGTACGAGAGAATTGTTCAATAAAATAACTTTTAAAAGCGAAATAGTAGACTCGTATGCTTGTTCTCGGGATGTATAACTTCCTTACTCTATAATTTATTGTATCAGCAGATTTGTTTTATACAGTAATATAATAAATCAGAAAATAACTTTGAAAATATTGAATGTTTAGAGTAGAGAGAAGCCATGTAGGATTGAGTAGGATATAAGATAATGTAGCACATTTGTCTCGTACATGACAAAATAATGTAAGAGCGGCTAAACATATTGACATACGAGTATTATTTTATTTACATTAAACACTTTACACGAATATAATAATAACGATTATTTTTAAACGATTTCAAAAAAAGGAAGAGTTTCTCTACCTTACTCCATGTTTTTTTGTATGATTCAAGCTCAATATGTATCTCGATTTTGAACCGAGTGTCATGATTCTTTTTTAATTAAAAGTGTATACTTTTGAGATGATCTCATATAAACATCGAGACAAAATTCCAACAGTAATAAAAGACGATGAATTATTGATATAACGACTTAGACGACTTTCTGACTGTTACATTGAGTTTGTCATATTTCTTAGCCCAATCAAAATTTACAAAACCAATTAAAAAGTACAATGTTACTTGAAAAAAAATAAAAGAAATAAAAAATAAATATCTCATAATAACTTCTGAAGTTGGGGCTTTAGCTCCTCTATATACTATGTACTATATATTTAATTCCTCTACATATTATGTGTTGACTACCTCTTTGATTTAGTGGTTGTAGTAGTGCGACTGATGATCATTAGGTCCTGGGTTGAAATCCCGGGTCGGGCCAAAAAGTCAATTATTGAGTTTTTTTTGTCAAGAAATTCTCAGTAGCTGCCCGGAGTCAGGAAGTTGGAGATGGCTCACCCCCGTGCCTCGGAAAACACGTAAGTCCTGCGCCTGATCTCTCTCCGGTCGTGTCAGCTTACCGTCCCATCGGATTATGAGAGTAAGGAAATAGAGAGTGCACCTGTGCTTACGCATACACTTGGGCACTATAATCCTGTCCTACGCGGATGGCTAGTCACAGTTGAGGCCGGCCGCCGTGACTTAAAATCGGTCTGGAGAACATTATACTATGTGTAATCACCAAGTCAAATTATGCGGAAATTATTTTATACCTTTTAGTTATCGAGCTCGACTTTGAAATTAAAGTATTATGAAATCTAATTTTTTTTAAATATACCTTACAGTTAATCTTATATTTTATTAGTTTTTTACTATCATATATTTTCGAAGAAATCGCCCTCATAAAAATGTTACGCTCCTTTAATGCTTTGCGATAAGTATTACATTAATCACACATATTACTTCAAATGTCTCGTCGGTCTTTAAGACGCTAGCTCAGTATAAAAAAGGAGGCCACTCACACATACTCATTTCTAAATCGTGCCCTACTCAGTACTAATGCTAGGGCTTCAATAAGATTACATCGATTTTATAATCTTTAGTCTCACTTAAAAAACATTGCTAAATTTTATTAAAGATCGACTATTAGAATTAGTATTAGCGGTTGTGATCCCGCCTATCAACTATGGCTTTGATGAATATAAATAATACAAATTCAAATACTTACATTACGAGTGAAGTGAACATTGCTGGACCAAGGGTTTGCACAAACTCTACAATTCAAGTAGACATCAGATCCTTCCATTA